GTTTGGTGAATGCCAGGAGAACGTTACCTGCCTGACTGCACTGTGCCAACTGTAAAGTTTGGTGGAGGAGGGATAATGCAATGGGGTTGTTTTTCAGGGGTTGGCCGAGGCTCCTTCGTTCCAGTGAAGGAGAACCTTAATGCTTCAGCATAACAAAACATTTTGGACAAATGTATGCTTCCATGCACTTCCATGCACATGCACTTTGTGGAACAGTTTGGGAAAGGCCCTTTTCTGTTCTAGCATGACTGAGCTCCAGAGCATAAGGCAAGGTCCATAAACGCAGGGTTGGGTGAGTTTGGTGTGGAAGAACTTGACTGGCCTTCACAGAGCACTGACTTCAACCCCATCAAAGACCTTTGGGATTAACTAGAACGGGGATTGTGAGCCAGATCCTCTCATCCAACATCAGTTTCTGACCTTACAAATACTCTTCTGGTTGAATGGGCGAAAATTCCCACAGACACACTCCAAAATCATGTAGAAAGCTTCCCAAAAGAGTGGAAGCTGTTGTGGCTGCAAAGCGGGAGCCAACTCCATATTAGTGCATATGGATTTAGAATGGGATGTCATAAAAGCTCCTGTAGGTGTAATGTGTAGGTGTTTCAGTACTTTTGTCCATATAATGTAGTAACAGCAAATATTTTCCTGAAAATTCTCTGTACAGTTGTCTACTGATATATGTACTTGAGCTCTGTGTGCCATGGCAATTAGCACCATGGTAGTTATTGCTAATACAGTGGCCCCAAAAAGAATTTGGACATTTGTGCCATATTTGAAAATCTATTACATTGATTGTGTTTTTATTGTTTAGCGCTGTAAAGTCGACTGAAAGTGCTGACTGTATGGATAGTGTTTTTCCAGAATGTCCAGTCCTCTGTTTTGCTCTTTAGGCTTCTGAATGGCTTGTTCATGATTCCTCCAGTTGTATCCATCCAAATCAAAGCTCTTCGTCCTCTTCCTCTTTTGCCTCAGCTTTTCCAAATGTAACATTTTTTGCCAATGAATTGGTTCTTCTGAGAATATATCTAAAATAAGTTAGTGTGGTTATCTGGGGCTTGATTTGGTTGAGGATCCTTTGCCATCCAAGGTACTCTCAAAAGTCTTTGTCCACACCGAAGTTCTAATGATTCAATATTTTTCCTGTCTTGCTTGTGTATTGTCCCGCTTTCACATCCGTAAAGACCAACAGAGAAGACCACAGCGTGGACACTTCTGATCTTTGTCTCTTGAGACAAATTGTTGCATTTGAAAATGCTTTCAAGCTCCTTCATTCTTGGTCTGCCGAGTGCCAATCTGTGTCATATTTCTTGTGTGCTGGATCCTTTGTTGTTAATAATTGATCTTAGTAGGGAAAAGCTGTCCACCATTTCCACATCTTCTCCATCAGTAGTAACGTTAGTGGTCCTTCCTGTTGTCATAACCTTCATCCTCTTCATATTGAGCTGCAGTCCCTTCTGCTCACACTGTTCTTTAACCTTCAGAATAAGGACCTTCCAGAATTTCAGCTATGAGTGTTGTATCATCTGCAGATCGGAGGTCATTGATGTTTCTTCCACCATTCCTTAATCCTTGATCATCTTCCTTCAGTCCAGCTTCTCTCATTACATGTTCTGTATGGTGATAGTGTTAGGAAACAAAATATATCAAACCAAGTGGCATTTAATTTAAACAGACCATTCCAAGACCTGCCATTTTCAAGTAGTCCTTTCAAAAGGTGGCAGGTGTTATTCGGATCATTATTTCTTTGTAGACCTCTGCAGGTTTGTATCCAGAATGCCTTGGCACACTTCTTAGTTCGTGATCTCATCAATGAATACAAGCTCATCAAAACCACAATAAGAAAAAAAGCCCTGCAAAGATTTTGATGTTTCCTGCTCTTGTGCTCTTGGTGTAGTCTGATTGCAGTTCTTCTTCAGGCTTTCTCTACACAGAGTCTATGATCAGTTTGACGTTGTGCTAAAAATATTTACCATTTTGTAACACATCTTTTAGAGTCCCTTAAATTCAAGGCATTAAGTGTGTGGTACAGTCTCCAAAGTGCTATGGAATTATTTGGGTTAAATAATGGAAACCAACACGGCCTAACTAAATTACACTCTTATAGATCATAACAGGTTATAGATATGAATCTATTAAAGGGCATCATGAAATATCTCATGATTGGGTAATTATTTGGAGTAGCAAGGTAATAAGGACAAACATACTCTACAGCCCTTTCCTGCTTAAATTTGTGACCTCCACGTTGACCAGGTGTAATTCTCTGTGTAAATTTAAACTATTCCTTTAAGCTATTTGTATGGCATTTTAAAGGGCCCAAATCCTAAAATTTTCTTGCATTTTATTTTTTTCTCTGTGGTCATATATGTGGTTTTATTTAGCTAAATCAGGCATAATTCATTTTTACATGAGCAATTTCCAATCTGTGTTTATTAGAATTAAATATAAAGCTGTTTTCGGTACTGTGCCTTTTAGACTGATGTATGTAAATAAGCTCTATCCTGATTGGCTACCTTGAATTGTGCCTTATTCAGACACTTCTTATAACTTCAGTGTGAGTGGATGGAGCTAAACTGCTGTGTGCTGACTAGGTGGATGTATGTGAATTTGTTTTGAACTGTTTTCATGACATTATAAAAACAATGAATTAAATATGGGCTGTTTTGGCAGCTTATTTCCATATATATGGACTGTAAGGACTCAGGAGTGAATGGTGATTATTGAAAATTTAACAGCATTCACATACCATGTCAAACATTCATTTCAAAACTGTGAGGAAAATTCAGTTTTTCATGATGGGGACCCTTTTAATATTCCATCATAATTCCAGCTAATAACATGTATAATGTCCAAATTACTGCAGAATATCCCATTTTACTTGGCAACAAATATCTTGACAAAAAAAACAGTTTCACCTAACACACAAAGTAACTTTTCTCCAATACATCTTGCTGTTATCAAATGGTGGGATATGGTTTTAGCTGAACTGTTTCTTTTTAGCATTTCTTTTCTGCATTAGCTTATCTTGTGGCTAGAAAAGAAAAGGGTACTTTATCTGAAGCTGCTGCATGTCAGACTGAAGCGAGCATGTATTGTGCAGGCTGTCAGTGGAACTAAAGCGTGAAAAATCCAGCGGCTCCACCTGTATGCACAGTTTCCCTGAAAGCTCACTTGAGCAGCATTAACCCTACACCTTCTCTCTCACATACACACACACACACTATACACACCGGCTTTCAGTGCAGACACAGCAAATGAGCGATTTTACAGTGTTCTAGTCCCTTCAGACCTGTCACACTTACAGAACGGCTGAGATTTTCCAGTTTTGGGTAGGAATAGAGCTGTTTGCTAACACTTTATTGAATTTGGATTGTGGTATGTACCACAAACAGTCATCATTTATTTTTACATGACCATTTTGCAACTCTGCAGACCATACAGGTTATATATAAAAATTAGACTGCAAAAAACTATCGGTAATAAGCTTCCTGGACAAAAAATTTGTCACCTTGCGTCTCTAAGGTGGCCATAGTATACGGTCATACAGTTCTACCAGCAGTGGCAAAAATTACAGTCTACAGGAAATTCTCGTCAGGATTGTGAAGGACGAAACTGATGGACAGGGTCCAAAACATTCCTATCCTTGCATTCCAAGATGACAATTCTCGCGTTCGCAGGGCTGCAAATGTGACTGACTGGCATGATGAACTTTCAGGAGCATTCACACATCTGGATTGGCCTGCATAATCCCCAGATTTGAATCCCCTTAAAAATCTGTGGAACTACCTAGAAAAATGAGTAAGATGCCAGGGAAGGCATCCACGAAATCTGGCCGAACTGCGCAATTCTTTGGTGCAAGAGTGGCTGAACATTGATGTCACCTACATCCGGAAACGTGTCCATCCCATGCCGAATTGAATCGCAGCTGTTAATCATGCTCGTGGAGGTATTACACGCTATTAGGTACGTTTTAGTCACAGGTGACAATTTATTTTGGCTGGTGAGCTTATTTATATGTATAAATTCATATGTATAAATAATAAATTTATATGTATAAATAATATTCTTCTTAGGCTTAATGTGGTCACTTGTAAAAAATCTGTGAAAGCCAGGTGTCCCCAGATTTTTGACATTTTTGTTATATTCTCTTTTAACGCTGCTATGAGTGCTGGTATAAAGGTCGTTCTAGTTTGTGTATTTTTAATGTGTAAACTCTTTTTCTAAGGCTGCTGTTGCTGTAATGAGTAAAGCATTGACAGAAATGTGACAAACATGCACTCTGACTTGTACTCGGTGGTCTTTAGTGAAGCAGCTGCATCTGTCTGTGTGTGTGTTTATAAAGGTTATAGTGAGTGTGTTTAAGCTCTAGGCTGGCTGTAATGGCCATTTGTGCCAAAGGGTGTGTAAATCACAGTGATGGAGAGTATTTTGCTGAATTTGTGCTGGATTGCAGTGCTCTGTTTGACCATGAACGATTCTACAGGGTTTTCTCTCAGTTTTCAGACAGTGAATAATAGAGTGGAAATAAAATTTATTGTTCTATGTTGTCAAGATTTTCCAAAATGATCTGACAACATACAGTACTGTGCAAAGGTCTTATTACCTAATCGCATTGTTTAAAACCATTTATCTTGGCAAAAAGTGTGTTTCAAGACTCGAGATTCGACTCAGACTTGCACCCCCTAGGCTCCATACCCAACTTGGCCTCACACCCCACTGATTCGAGACTTCACTCAAACTCGCAAAAAGCAACATCTCTGGCATATATGCATTCAAGACTGAATGTATGTGTGTGCACGTGTGTGTGTGTGTGTGTGTGTGTGTGTGTGTGTGTGTGTTTCTCCCATCTGTTATCTGTCATCTTTCAGATTTCTGTCTCAGCAGTTTCTTTGCAGGCTTTTTATTCACTCCTAATGAGAAAAATCTGAATATGCAGATTACACTGTCCTGGAATTTCAACATTAATTATAACAAATGTAACTTTTTTTTTTCTTCTCCAGGACACTCCAAGATCTGGCACCAGCCGCCATAAGAGGTAAGTTCCCTCTACCCTGCATCTATCTTGTATTTCCACTGCCTGGCCATTTTATTAGAAACCCCTACATTTTGCTTCCACTCACTGGCCACTTTATTAGAAACACCTACCTTGTATTTCCACTCACTGGCCACTTTATTAGAAACACATACCTTGTGCTTCATCTCACTGGCCACTTTATTAGAAACACCTACCTTGTGTTTCCACTCACTGGCCACTTTATTAGAAACACCTTGTGCTTCTACTCACTGGCCACTTTATTAGAAACACCTACCTTGTATTTCCACTCACTGGCCACTTTATTAGAAACACCTACCTTGTATTTCCACTCACTGGCCACTTTGTTAGAAACAACTACCTTGTACTTCCACTCTTTGGCCACTTTATTAGAAACACCTACCATATAGCTCCACTATATAAGCGTACAATAACAGACTGTAGCTCATCTTTTGCTGCACAGTTTATCAGCCCCCTCTACCCCGTTCATCATTTAGCCAGTTTCTGACCACAGCACTGCTGTTAACCAGATATTATCTAGTGGTGGACACAAACAGTGCATCAACAGATGGGCTACAGCCTGTAACTGTAAGGCAAGGTGGAACTACAAAGCAGGGGGTTTCTAATAATGTGGCTGTTAAGTATATATTGAAGAATGTGAAATGTATTTTCTTGTCATATTACAGTTGCACGCTTGAAGCATTGAAAATACAAATTTTTGCAGCTAATTGCAGATTATTTGTTTGTCTTCATATTGAAGGTCAGGAATAGTAGCTAATACCCTTTCCCAAACCTGAAAGAATTTCCTTTTTCAGAGGCTGTCTCAGCAAAGTACCGAAAAAAACTCTTTTGTCAGAACAAACTGCCGTTCCAAGTCAATTTAAAGCTTCTGAAACTGCTCACTCTCTCTCTCTCTCTCTCTCTCTCTCTCTCTCTCTCTCTCTCTCTCTCTCTCTCTCTCTCTCTCTCTCTCTCTCTCTCTCTCTCTCTCTCTGTGAATTATTGTGTGCGTGCCAGCAGAGCTGTTCACTTTCTGAAGGATTTTTCTTCTAAGCCTTGGCAGCAGCTGTGGAACTGAATTTTCACTCCTCATTGCGATGTGGAGAGTGATTTTGGGATCAGGCCGTCCACTAAAGTCTAATATCTAGCACTCCTGACATTTCACACACAGTTTGAGTGGGATTGAGATTTACTTTGCTTTATTCTTTTATTATAACAAACACTTCTGAAGTTCATATCAGAATGTGACCTGCTGATAGTATAATAAATAATATGGGCATTTGTATAAATATATGCAACATAGTTTGATTTCATGCTATAAAATGTGTGATAACAGGAATGGTTTCTTTAATTATATTTAAAACAAACCATGTATTGGCTTAAAAGTGGTCATCAGCAACATTAAAGAACTACTGCGCAGCTCATGGAACTAGAAGAAATAGGATTGGCAAGGCTATCTTGGATGGTTGATTAGCAGAGCTGTTTGAAATACTGAGGTTTCTCAGTCAAGTACAGTAGTGATGGACAAAGAGTGCTAGGTCAAATGGTGACCGTGTGCTGACACTGCTCACCGCAAGGATCAGATAACCATGCCAATGCCTTAATTATGCTAACTTTTTTGTAATGACATCCCCCAAACGTGTGAGTTACTGGAGCAGATACAAAACACAAAGATTTAAAATTTGCCAGCTTCCTATTTGAATTTTCCCTTCCACCTTAAACAGAGCACCAGGTACATGTTACTGAATTTGAATAAAAAGCTGACAAATAGGAAGCCAACTTCATCCTCGAAGAGGAAACACGAGTCTCAGCAGGTGCTTCTCACAGGATTCAAGCAGCCACTTAATGCCGATTCTGGACCAGGGAAACAATAACTCGCTCTGTAGGAATGTTAGTAGCTACCAATTTGCACCTCTCCTCGGTTGTAGAGTCCAGCTCTGTTCGGCTGTAGAGTCCAGCTCTGTTCGGTTGTAATTCGGCTATAGAGTCCACATCTATTCGACTGTAGTCCCCCTCTATTTAGTTGTAGTTTGGTTGTAGAGTCCAGCTCTATTCAGGAGTACATCTCTATTTGGCTAATTAGACATTGACTTCAAGTGTAAATAAATAACACAATTTATGTAAAAACACATTTATTAACATTGCACTGCTGCAGGCAAATCGTTATGTCTTCAACTATTGCAAATACACCCATTAGTTACGTACAAATAATAATATCAATAGATTAATAAGACTTTCTGTTTTCATTATTTGTTTATTAGACTTTTATTTGCAAATATGGGACTGCGGAAGGCTTTTTTCCTGTGAAAATATCATGTCATAGAGCAAATGTCAGTCTGTTTGCATGTAGTGTTTCTTCTTCTCAGCAAATTAAATGTACATACCATGGTATATAGATCAGTTTTTATCTGATATCTGTGTTAGTGATGTAACGGATGGCAGTTTAGATCTGTTTCTGAGGCTTTTGGCTCCCGTAGGTTGCACAACAACATATCAGTGGGTCTTATTTAGAAGTGTGAAAGCTGCAGGCATCTTTTATGTACTCTGGCAGGAAAACAGTGAGTCAAAGTGTTTTCATAGTTGACAGGTAAAACCAGGTCTGGTGGGTTTTGTATTTGAGCCTGTAATTAGCATAATGAACAAAACCTTAATCACTGGCAAAAGGGGTTGAACACACGCTGAAAGCAAAGACGCAAGCTAGACAACCTATACAACCATATGGGTAGTGATAAGAAAGCAGTGGTATGGGTAGTGATACGAGCACCACCACCCACACCACTGCTCATATCACTCCCCATACCACTACTCATATCACTACCCATACCACTGCTCGTATCGCTACCCATACCACTGCTCATACCACCACCCGTACCACTGCTCGTATCACTGCCCATACCACTGCTCGCACCACCACCCATACCACTGCTCGTATCACTGCCCATACCACTGCTCGCACCACCACCCATACCACTGCTCGTACTGCTACCGCTACCCATACCACTGCTCGTATCACTGCCCATACCACTGCTCGCACCACCACCCATACCACTGCTCGTACTGCTACCGCTACCCATACCACTGCTAGTATCACTACCAATACCACTGCTCGTATCACCACCCATACCACTGATCGTATGACTAGCCGTACCACTGCTCGTATCGCTACCCATGCTAAAAACAAAGACGCAAGATAGACAATCTATACAACCATATGGGTAGTGATAAGAGCAGTGGTATGGGTAGCGATACTGCTCATATCACTACCCATACCACTGCTCATACCACCACCCGTACCACTGCTCATATCACTACCCATACCACTACTCATATCACTACCCATGCCACTGCTCGCACCACCACCTATAGCACTGCTCGTATTGCTACCGCTACCCATACCACTGCTTTGTATCACTGCCTGTACCACTGCTCGTATCACTACCTGTACCACTGCTCGTATCACTACCTGTACCACTGCTCGTATCACTACCAATACCACTGCTCGTATCACCACCCGTACCACTGCTCGTATCACTACCTGTACCACTGCTCATAACAATACCCATACCACTACTCATATCGCTACCCATACCACTGCTCGCACCACCACCCATACCACTGCTCGTATCACTACCCATACCACTGCTTGTATCACTGCCTGTACCACTGCTCGTATCACTACCAGTACTACTGCTCGTATCACTGCCTGTACCACTGCTCGTATCACTACCTGTACCACTGCTCGTATCACTACCCTGTACCACTGCTTGTATCACTACCCATACCACTGCTCGTATCACTACCTGTACCACTGCTCATATCAATACCCATACCACTACTCATATCGCTACCCATACCACTGCTCGCACCACCACCCATACCACTGCTCGTATTGCTACCGCTACCCATACCACTGCTTGTATCACTACCTGTACCACTGCTCGTATCACTACCTGTACCACTGCTCGTATCACTACCAATACCACTGCTCGTATCACCACCCATACCACTGCTCGTATCACTAGCCGTACCACTGCTCGTATCACTACCCGTACCACTGCTCATATCGCTACCTGTACCACTGCTCGTATCACTACCTGTACCACTGCTCGTATCACTACCAATACCACTGCTCGTATCACCACCCATACCACTGCTCGTATCACCACCCATACCACTGCTCGTATCACTAGCCGTACCACTGCTCGTATCACTGCCCATACCACTGCTCATACCACCACCCATACCACTGTTCATATCACCACCCATACCACTGTTAATATCACTTCCTATGTTGCTGCCTGTACAAATGCCCACATAATTGCCCATAAAAATGCCCATAATACTGCCCAATAAAAATTCCTACATCACTGCCCATACAAATACATATATTACTGCCCATACTTTGTTCCAAGCAGGTGCTTATAACTGAATAGTGAATTTACTGTTGACTTATGTGTTGGTTATTAAATGATAACAGAAGGATGGAATTAAGGAGAGCAGACTTAATGACTCAGTAGTTTGGGATGTGCAGCCTTATAGATGTATCTGCTTAATACATCAAACCCCGCAAGACATCGCACACACACACACACACACACACACACACACACACACACACATACATATGTAGGATTATGTTATGATCTATTTAAATCAAAGGCATTAATAGAGATAGTAATGAGCAAAATATATACAAAATCATAATTTATCTGGTACTTTCTATTTGGCCACATGGTGAGCAGTTAGATCTCCTTAACTCCTGTACCCTTAAGAATTGTCACTACTGAAACACATTTTCTGCAATTCAGTAAACTTTTTTGTGTTTTAATGAAATTATTATAATTTTATGTGTGTAGAACTGAAGCTATGTTTGCTAGTCATGTACTGGCTAGCGGTTTTGAGTTATGCTCAGAATTAGCTAAAATTGTCAGTATCAAAATAGTCACTACAAAACATTTGGTGAAGTTTTGATAGTGTTATGATAGTTTTGTTAATGACATAAT